AAAAAAAAAGCTTAAAAGGCGGCTTTTGTAATTTACTGAAGTGGTTGATACTCCATCACTTCAAAAAAGGAGAATTAGTTATGTAACAAAGAAGAAAATACATTGTTTCTATTACAAAACCATCCACTAAAAATTAAATGAAAAATGCATGAGCTTCTAACAGATGAAAAAAAAAAACCCAGAAAAGATCTCATAAGTATTTTCATTTCCCAGGTTCGCAGGCAATGAACAACCACATTAACAGTGGACTTTATGCCAAGCAAACAGAACTGCAGGTTTTACTGATTCATTTTAATATACTTACATCACCATCACTTATTCCAGATGATGTGCATTACTGCCCTTTCACAGCACCTGCTCATTTTTGGAGTACACGTGGGAAACCATTGGAGTCAGATCAGTTACTACCTTTAAACCCTCACAGTCCAATTCATTGACATCCCAAAGTGAGTAAGGAATTTATAAATTTTTTTCTAGTTGTTTTTGAAATTTTGTATTATCTCACACAAATTAGCAAAGATGATTTTTCTAACACAAAATTGCAACAGAAACATTTAATTAATTACTCACCACTGTTAATTGCTGCCATTTAAAAAAAAAAAAAATGTAGTAGAGACTTTATTTTACATATGGAGCTGTCCAGCACAGTTTTTGAGGTTCTCTGCATTTGTTTATTGTGTATGTCATGAATATTTCATTTAATAGAACCAGTTTTCTTTTCAGTAAGTGGAAAAATCATTGCATTACCTACATCAGTGAACCTGCACCTGGAAAGGGGAAAGTCTGTATAAAAATAGCAGGTACTGTCTAGCAGGTGTAAAAACATTTATGAGTCACCTCTTTTATTTGTGTATGAATGAGAGAGGTTTTTTCCCCCGGCTTTTACTGATACTGTGAGTTCTTTCAAGTACCTTGTTTCCAATGGCCTTTTTAGGTGGAAAGTTAAAAGTCCTCACTTGCTGGTATTTACTCTGTAATTTATGATGCAAGCTTCTGAACTCTGCATATCTTCGATACACATTCCATTCATCATCCTTTATCCTGATATAAACCTGCAAAATACAGACATGGAAGGAAACAGTGTAAAGACAAACCCTGAGATGATGCATCTCCTCACTCCTCAAAGCCTCGTGTGATGCAACAGCACTAGAAATTCCAGGTACAGCTCTGACTGGGCCTTTGCTGTTCCTATTGTACAGGTCATTAACCTTATTTTCTCTCTTTTTCCCTTTCTTTTTCTTTCTTTCTCTTATTTTAATCAAGACAAACACAGCTTGCTTATTTGAACATGACTCTGGGGCAACCATGGCAGCACTTTTTGTTACCATGGTTTCCAGCATATTCTGCTACCCAGTGACCAAAGGAAAAAAATAATTTAATACCACTATAAAATTGATTTCTGTGTCCTCAACACAGTTCTTCAACTTTGTAAATTAGCTTTGTAGCATCAGAATTTCAAAACATAATTTTATCCCAAGTATGAAACTTAATTTACTTCCTAACAAAATTACATCGAAAACTAAACTAGAAATTTTATTGTTTGGAAAATAAACACAGTTCATTCTTTCTGCTTGTATAGGACATTAAGTATAATTTAACACAGCTGTAGTTTTTGTGATTCTGCTTTTGTTTGCCACTCATTATTTCATGAGCATATTACCAATTACATGCTAAATATTCACATTCTCTGGGAAAATTTCACGGAGAAGTGAAATATACTTCCAGAAAACTGAGTTTTCACTCTTTTCTAGGGGAATAACCTTTCCTCTACAGGAATGAACCTACAGTTTAAAAGAACGCTGAAACAGCACATCAGAAACTCTAAACCAAGCATCAGAACTCAAGATCCAGAGTGACCTTTTCCTCGCTGCTTTCTAGAATCTGTCACTTATCCCTTCTGGTGTGTGTGTCAATAATCTCAATATTCTGCACCGGGAATGAAGCTGAAATGGTCCTGATGGCACTGCCTTGCCCTGCTGCTCCACAAACCCCCAGGAATTCATTAGGAAGCTGTAAGACAAGGATCAGGAGAACCCTCATGTGAAAAAGCAACCCCGAGGAGTGGGCAGTAACAACGGTATTTTGGGGAATACTCAGAGAAAATGAACTTTGGATTTTGATGTGGCCGATTTCAACAGTGAATCGCAGCTTTTCCTGGGGATTGAAACATTAACATGGTCCTTCTTCTCTACATTTGACAAGTCCTTAGAAAGAAATTATATTTTACTAAGGACTTGTGGTATTTCAGAGATCAAGGGATGTCAAGTGAATGCCTCCTCCCACAAAAGCAGCTCATGCAGCCTTCCTTTGGTTTGGTCTTTATCAAGTCCTTTTATTCCTGCAGACACCTAGTTTTTCAAATTTATAGGAGGCTTCTACCCTTGCAACAAAATGCAATATATCATGCAGACATCATTCTGCCACATTAGACTATTTCAGTGTAGAAAATACTAATACATTTTCTACAGGAATACTGCAATTCCAAAAAAAGGAATACTACAATTCCAAAATTAGCACATCTAAGAATTCAAAAGATTCAGAGTATTGTGTGAATTACAAATGCAGATGTAAACAAAAATTCAACTGGTTTTGGTAACAAGAATTCAGACAGTGTAATGATGGAACCACAATAGTAAGTCTGCAAGAAGTATTCAGATTTCTTTTCCACTTTGAAAATAAGGCCAGGATAATTAAACTCCTACAGGACCATCTGTTTGAACAATTAAGTACATCTTTCAAAGCAAATGAAGGGATATATGAGATGCAAGTATTTTGCATAATTCTAATAAAATTTATTTAATGCAGTAAAAACTATATTAAACATATCTAACCCCTCTCCCTGCCTGTTCTCACTTCCACCAGTACATTGTTTGGAATTTTGTATACATTCCCAAGATTCATGATTCAATTTCCCTGGGGGGGTGGGGACAATTAAAAAAAAAAACTTCAATTATTTTTAACTAAGTCATTTAATATGGAAACCTTAATTTAACTAAGCAGTTATCTTTGCACATGTGATTTGGTGAATCATGCAGTTCAACATTACCTGTTAAGCTGTAACCCACAGTTAACTCATTAAGGAATCTGGTACACTGTAATTGAAATTTTTAAGGACTGCAAAACCATAGATTAATTTCTTAGATAAAACCACTAGAAAATTTCTTATTGTTCTTCTATGTACACAGACATTGATTTCATTTAAGCAGTAAGAAATGAAAATGCAACATTTGGAGCCCTGTGCCATATTGAATTTATTGACAATCATATAACAGAGTATGAAAGGTATATTGAAGTTCATGATGCAGTACAGATTTAAACCTTCGTTATCAAAGAAGGGAATGCTATTCCCTTGCCAAGGTATTGCAAGACAATGCAAATTCAGTTGGGAAATCAAACAGAGCAAATACTAAATATAAAATTATTTGGATAAACTTATCCTAGTGTAGTCATTTAAGGCACACAGTTATCCCCTTTTACCTCAAATACAGATCATACCAGCACAGGAAGATCAGGGAAGGATTACTTTTGCAGACAGAATTTTGAAATAATGCTAAATCAAGCAACTTGAGATGTATGGTTTGAAATTGTGTCAAAAGTCATTAGGTCTTTTCCCATCATCTTCAAGGCATCCACAATTTCATTCACGGTCTTTTGATAGGAAATTAGTGAAATCTGTAGTTGCCAACAGATACTTTTGTGTCTTTTTGTCCCAAATTATCTCACTGTACCCCAGAGCAACACCACCTTTTGCTACAGCAAATACTTTTACAAATGACACATAATTACAGAACAGTATTTTAAGAACATCTTATAGAAAGTTTAAAGGACTACTCTTAGTCCTTATTCTCTGATCAATTTTAAAAAAAATCAATTCTAAATCATTACAATTCTTTTCTAATGCCCGTGTTTTCCTGATATTATTCACTTCCTAACCTAGTTAAGTAATTTTCAAGGTAATGAAAACTTACAGACTCAATCAAAATCACTGCTAGAATGCTTATTTGTTTGTAGACAAAAGATTTTATTTTAATATTCTCTTGAGTATCAAAAAATTAGTTAAGGAGCTTCTGCTGTTAATTTCAGAGCACTTTCCATTTAGGTCTCCCATGTAAAGATTGATTGGTAACCTTTCTGTAGCTATGATTTACAGCAGCTCCAAGAAAAATTTCAGTTAATAAGTATGTATAATGAATTAGTCTGTTATTTTCTCATCACAAAAACATCTGAAGTCAAAGATTTGGAGAGCAATAGCAATAACAGTTACAATTTAATATTGTGTTTATCAGCCAACTATCAGCTAACTTAATATTACTGAAACGCCCAAAATCTTCTGAGACTCAATTTGAAAGCACTGGTTTACTGATTGCATACTGAAATGAAAAATCCTACTCCCATGGTCCTGCTTTTTGAGCCAAAAGTTTCTTTAATAAGTTAAGAAATCTTCTAAGCAGTTCTGAGTCCAAAATGCTGTTAACAAGTCCTGGTTACGGACTAGTAACAGTTGACACAGTTCCTTGCTACTTATGTATAAAAGCCTGAGGAAAATAAAGGACAAATGCCAAAATTCCAAGTTGCTCCATTCCAGTGTACACAGACCAAATGCTTGCAACCAACACTCGTTCTTCAGCTCTGTAGGAGTCCAATGTGGGTGCTTTTCTTTTTGATGCAAAAATATAGATTGGTATATTGAGGATTCACTTTTGTGTCCCTCTCAATGCAGTGAGTAGCAAGAGACACTGACTGGGATATTAAAGACCTTCTTCTGTTGCAATGACATTCATGGTTATAGAAATTGCAGATTAGGCATCAAGAAGGATCTCCCCTAAATGAAGTTACTCCTGAATCTTCCCTGCAAATATGGGGAACTTCCTGGTAGGATGATCTGAACATATAAAAAAAAAATGAATTCTTGCCAGAGAACTCTTTATGTGAGCTCCACAAATACAGAAATGCTGAAGTTAAAGTCCTTGCGAGTCCATGGCCTATTCCTGAGGCAAGAAAAATGTCAGAAAGGGAGGGAACAATGCTAAGGGAAGGTGAGTAGTGAAACTCTACTAAACCACATATAAAATTCAGTGGCACAAGATGGAAGAGAACTTGTGACAACTCAGCAGCAGAACACTTCAAAGGACATAAAGAACACTGAGAATGTTTGTAAAGAACAAATCCTAGGCTGGACAAGGTCATAGCTGCCTTAGAAGCACAGGAAAAAAATGTTGGACAGCATAAAGAATGCAAAGGAGACTGATCTACACTAAGGAAGCTACTGTGACCTTTACCACCTCAGTGAGCATTACCAGGGGATAAAAAAAGGGTGAGAGAAAAAAGCTACTCTTTCTATACTACTGTATTTCTAACTTCCTTTCCCCCACTAATAAAAGAGAGTTTTCTGGAGGTCCTCTTGTTTGTTACCTACTTTCAAACCAATGCCCAAGCATGTGACAACAAAAAGAAAAATTAGCAACTGGTTTGGTAGAGACAACCCAATCAGCATGAATACAAAAACATTACATGCACATTGGCACCTTTATTTTTCACTGTTAACTCAGCTAAGCTTGACTAGTGAATGTTTTCTTTACATTTGCTTTTAAATAACACTCTAAAATTTGGAGTACCATTGATCCATAGTTTTACCTTTATACTAATAAAGTTTTTTTTAACTCTTAAAACTCTGACTCAACTTTAATGTACATCTTAATTATTCAGGAACACTAAATTAAAGAGATTTTGATCAAAGTTCACTATTTAGAAATAATTGTCTTCAGTGGATTGGAACTATCTTTTTTTCCTCTCAGGAAAGCACATTATAAAATAGGAGTGACAATCTATTTAGGAGGTTTCTATCAAAATTATATATATCTACACTCAAAACATAGAGAAGAAGTAAAAGGTATGAATCCAAAGGGGAAGCATATCACAAAAAAAGGAAGAACTGATTTCATTTCTTGACTTTACTTCAGGAGAATGGGATTCTGTTTAGAATATAAATTCAAGCTCAGTTCTCCAAAGTTACCTCTGAAGTGTGAGAAATGAATACAAATGCAAGTTATAT